TTGAAGTAAACTAAAATCTGAGCAGGATACTGGATTGAATCAAGGATCACACAAAAAAGCAAATACTGTTGGGACAGTTGGTGTGATTTAAATGGGGTCTGTGAGTTAGATGCTGCCCATGCATTAATGAAGATTTCCTATTTGAGTAATTGTATCGTGCTTATGAAAAAGAATAGGGGAAACAGAAAATGGAATATTCCGGGGTGATGAGGCAATATGCTTACAATTTGCTTTTAAGTGGGTCAGAAAATAACCGATTATGAGCATAAAATATTGTATGCATGTACAGATATATACTGTATGGAGAGCAATAGAGAGAAAGGGATTATAAATGATGAAGCATAAGTGGTAAAATATTAACAATGAGGCCATCTGTGTGAAGGGAATATGGGAGTATAGAGTTTCTCTCTCTCTCTCTCTCTCTCTCTCTCTCTCTCTCTCTCTCTTTTTACCATTATTGAAACTGTAAGTTTGAAGATATTTCAAGATAAATTGTGAAATATATAATGACGATTATCTCTATATATTAATGGAGTGATCTTCATGATATATTTAAGTGAAAAATAATGTATAGGTATAGTGTGCCTTATTTTTAGGAAAAATATTAATATTGTTATTTTGCAGTTATTATATGTACAATTTGAAATAAGGGAAATAATTATGCTAGTGAAGATACATATTTTTTAAATTAAGTAAAAACCTGTATTTTTAATCCTGAATTATTATATCAACATTAACTCACAATTTATTTAAAAAAAACAGATTTTCTAGTACTGCCCACTGAAATAGCCTAGAAATAATGACAACCCAGGAGCAATGGACATCAGGATTGCCCAGATTATAGTCTCTAAAAAACAATCCACCAGAACTAAAGATCCTTGGAAAAACCACTAATTCCAGATCTTGGGCATGGAACATACAAAATAAATGTGGTACATATTTTTATGCAAGAAAGAAAGAAAAATATCAAAGAGTACTTATTGGGCTAGTGTCAAAAGGACATCAAAGAAATCTTTTTTTTTTTTTTTTTTATAAATTAATTTTTATTGGTGTTCAATTTACCAACATACAGAATAACACCCAGTGCTCATCCCGTCAAGTGTCCCCCTCCGTGCCCGTCACCCATTCACCCCCACCCCCCGCCCTCCTCCCCTTCCACCACCCCTAGTTCATTTCCCAGAGTTGGAAGTCTTTATGTTCTGTGTCCCTTTCTGATATCTCCCACACATTTCTTCTCCCTTCCCTTATATTCCCCTTCACTATTATTCATATTCCCCAAATAAGTGAGAACATACACTATTTGTCCTTCTCCGATTGACTTACTTCACTCAGCATAATACCCTCCAGTTCCATCCACGTTGAAGCAAATGGTGGGTATTTGTTGTTTCTAATGGCTGAGTAATATTCCATTGTATACATAAACCACATCTTCTTTATCCATTCATCTTTCGATGGGCACCGAGGCTCCTTCCACAGTTTGGCTATTGTGGACATGGCTGCTAGAAACATCGGGGTGCAGGTGCCCCGGCGTTTCATTGCATCTGAATCTTCGGGGTAAATCCCTAACAGTGCAATTGCTGGGTCGTAGGGCAGGTCTATTTTTAATTCTTTGAGGAACCTCCACACAGTTTTCCAGAGTGGCTGCACCATTTCACATTCCCACCAACAGTGTAAGAGGGTTCCCTTTTCTCCGCATCCTCTCCAACATTTGTTGTTTCCTGCCTTGTTAATTTTCCCCATTCTCACTGGTGTGAGGTGGTATCTCATTGTGGTTTTGATTTGTATTTCCCTGATGGCAAGTGATGCAGAGCATTTTCTCATGTGCATGTTGGCCATGTCTATGTCTTCCTCTGTGAGATTTCTCTTCATGTCTTTTGCCCATTTCATGATTGGATTGTTTGTTTCTTTGGTGTTGAGTTTAATAAGTTCTTTATAGATTTTGGAAACTAGCCCTTTATCTGATATGTTATTTGCAAATATCTTCTCCCATTCTGTAGGTTGTCTTTGAGTTTTGTTGACTGTATCCTTTGCTGTGCAAAAGCTTCTTATCTTGATGAAGTCCCAATAGTTCATTTTTGCTTTTGTTTCTTTTGCCTTCGTGGATGTATCTTGCAAGAAGTTACTGTGGCCAAGTTCAAAAAGGGTGTTGCCTGTGTTCTCCTCTAGGATTTTGATGGAGTCTTGTCTCACATTTAAATCTTTCATCCATTTTGAGTTTATCTTTGTGTATGGTGCAAGAGAGTGGTCTAGTTTCATTCTTCTGCATGTGGATGACCAATTTTCCCAGCACCATTTATTGAAGAGACTGTCTTTCTTCCAGTGGATAGTCTTTCCTCCTTTGTCGAATATTAGTTGACCATAAAGTTCAGGGTCCATTTCTGGATTCTCTATTCTGTTCCATTGGTCTATGTGTCTGTTTTTGTGCCAGTACCACACTGTCTTGATGACCACAGCTTTGTAGTACAACCTGAAATCTGGCATTGTGATGCCCCCAGCTATGGTTTTCTTTTTTAAAATTCCCCTGGCTATTCGGGGTCTTTTCTGATTCCACACAAATCTTAAAATAATTTGTTCTAAGTCTCTGAAGAAAGTCCATGGTATTTTGATAGGGATTGCATTGAACGTGTAAATTGCCCTGGGTAGCATTGACATTTTCACAATATTAATTCTGCCAATCCATGAGCATGGAATATTTTTCCATCTCTTTGTGTCTTCCTCAATTTCTTTCAGAAGTGTTCTATAGTTTTTAGGGTATAGATCCTTTACCTCTTTGGTTAGGTTTATTCCTAGGTATCTTATGCTTTTGGGTGCAATTGTAAATGGGATTGACTCCTTAATTTCTCTTTCTTCAGTCTCATTGTTAGTGTATAGGAATGCCATTGATTTCTGGGCATTGATTTTGTATCCTGCCACGCTACCAAATTGCTGTATGAGTTCTAGCAATCTTGGGGTGGAGGCTTTTGGGTTTTCTATGTAGAGTATCATGTCATCGGCGAAGAGGGAGAGTTTGACTTCTTCTTTGCCAATTTGAATGCCTTTTATTTCTTTTTGTTGTCTGATTGCTGAGGCTAGGACTTCCAATAATATGTTGAATAGCAGTGGTGAGAGTGGACATCCCTGTCTGGTTCCTGATCTTAGGGGAAAGGCTCCCAGTGCTTCCCCATTGAGAATGATATTTGCTGTGGGCTTTTCGTAGATGGCTTTTAAGATATCAAGGAAAGTTCCCTCTATCCCTACACTCTGAAGAGTTTTAATCAGGAATGGATGCTGTATTTTGTCAAATGCTTTCTCTGCATCTAATGAGAGGATCATATGGTTCTTGGTTTTTCTCTTGCTGATATGATGAATCACATTGATTGTTTTACGAGTGTTGAACCAGCCTTGCATCCCGGGGATAAATCATACTTGGTCATGGTGAATAATTTTCTTAATGTGTTGTTGGATCCTATTGGCTAGTATCTTGTTGAGAATTTTTGCATCCATGTTCATCAGGGATATTGGTCTGTAATTCTCCTTTTTGGTGGGGTCTTTGTCTGGTTTTGGAATTAAGGTGATGCTGGCCTCATAGAATGAGTTTGGAAGTACTCCATCTCTTTCTATCTTTCCAAACAGCTTTAGTAGAATAGGTATGATTTCTTCTTTAAACGTTTGATAGAATTCCCCTGGGAAGCCATCTGGCCCTGGACTCTTGTGTCTTGGGAGGTTTTTGATGACTGCTTCAATTTCCTCCCTGGTTATTGGCCTGTTCAGGTTTTCTATTTCTTCCTGCTCCAGTTTTGGTAGTTTGTGGCTTTCCAGGAATGCATCCATTTCTTCTAGATTGCCTAATTTATTGGCGTAGAGCTGTTCATAATATGTTTTTAAAATCGTTTGTATTTCCTTGGTGTTGGTAGTGATCTCTCCTTTCTCATTCATGATTTTATTAATTTGAGTCTTCTCTCTCTTCTTTTTAATAAGGTTGGCTAATGGTTTATCTATCTTATTAATTCTTTCAAAGAACCAACTCCTGGTTCTATTGATCTGTTCCACAGTTCTTCTGGTCTCAATTTCGTTGAGTTCTGCTCGAATTTTAATTAACTCTCTTCTTCTGCTGGGCGTCGGGTCGATTTGCTGCTTCTTCTCTAGCTCCTTTATGTGTAAGGTTAGCTTTTGTATTTGAGTTCTTTCCAGTTTTTGAATGGATGCTTGTATTGCGATGTATTTCCCCCTCAGGACTGCTTTTGCTGCATCCCAAAGATTTTGAACAGTTGTATCTTCATTCTCATTAGTTTCCATGAATCTTTTTAATTCTTCCTTAATTTCCTGGTTGACCCTTTTATCTTTTAGCAGGATGGTCCTTAACCTCCACGTGTTTGAGGTCCTTCCAAACTTCTTCTTGTGATTGAGTTCTAATTTCAAGGCGTTATGGTCTGAGAATATGCAGGGGACGATCCCAATCTTTTGGTATCGGTTCAGACCCGATTTGTGACCCAGTATGTGGTCTATTCTGGAAAAAGTTCCATGTGCACTTGAGAAGAATGTGTATTCAGTTGAGTTTGGATGTAAAGTTCTGTAGATATCTGTGAAATCTATCTGGTCCAGTGTATCATTTAAAGCTCTCGTTTCTTTGGAGATGTTGTGTTTAGAAGACCTATCAAGGGTAGAGAGAGCTAGATTGAAGTCACCAAGTATAAGTGTATTATTATCTAAGTATTTCTTTACTTTGGTTAATAATTCGTTTAAGTATTTGGCAGCTCCCACATTCGGGGCATATATATTGAGGATTGTTAAGTCCTCTTGTTGGATAGATCCTTTAAGTATGATATAGTGTCCCTCTTCGTCTCTCACTACTGTCTTCGGAGTGAATTTTAGTTTATCTGATATAAGGATGGCTACCCCTGCTTTCTTTTGCGAACCATTTGAATGGTAAATGGTTCTCCAACCTTTTATTTTCAGGTTGTAGGTGTCCTTCTGTCTAAAATGAGTCTCTTGTAGACAGCAAATAGATGGGTCCTGCTTTTTTATAAAAAAGCAGGTTTGGCCAATGACTTGGAGGGTGTGTCAGGAATGGAAGAAGTAGGAGAAGCAGGAAAGTTCAAAACACATTTCTTCCCCAGGCAGCGACCATGTAACTCAACATCCTCATAAGGGTTTTCCTTCATTGGCGGATCTACGATGTCTTCATAGACGTTCTCCTCTGATAAAGTGCGTGTGAGCCCCAATTTAGTCTGTGCATACCAGTCCACCCTGCTGTTCTCAGAGGAAGACTGCAACAAGTCTTCAAACTCATAGGACTTTCTGTGGTCAGCACTGGGTTTCGGTCTCCCGGTCCACAGTCTTCTATTCACGGAGGAGGGTGGGGGAGAGGAGGGCAGGGGCGGGGGAGGTAGAGAAGGCAGAGGAGGCAGATGCCTTCTATCCTTTGGGAAGCTGATGCCTGGGTTCCCGTCCTTGTCACCTTCTCCATCGTGTTTGAACGTTCTCCGAGGTTTGGGCAGGGGGTTGATAAAGGGTTTCGTGGAGGAGTTCTCTGAGCCCCTGTCCATACCCTCCAGGCTCTGATCGCAGGGCCTCCAGCAGGACCCTTTCCTTTCCTCTGCAGCCTCAGAGGTGGGCTCCCTGGCCTCCAGGTCCCAGTGGTGGGACCTGAATTCAGAGCCACGCCTGCCCCCATGGTTCTCAGGAAGGGCAGGCCCCTCCTCGGCCTTGTCTGGCAGGCAGTGTGGGGAATAACAGGTCCCTGGTAACTGGGGATCCAACCCTGCCGACCCATCCTTCAGAGCCTGCTCCAGTTTCTTGACCTGCCTCAGCACAGAGAGGCTATCGTTCGGAAAGCGCTGTTTGCCCAGCCTGGGCTCTCGGCCTCTGCCCAAGCCAGGAGCTAGCTGCCCAGCTGGCTGGCTGAGGTCTTGCCTTGGCTCTGCATCCTGACCCCCAACTTTCACGACCCCTTTATTCCTCTCATTCTCCTTGCTCTCTGTTTCCGGCCTGGTTCCATCCTGAACCTCTGTGACCCACGCTCTCACAACATCACTGCTTCTCCTCCCCATCACACAGGATGTCAGGTAGTCCTCTGGCCCATCTGCTTTCCTGCCAGGTGCAGGAGTAGGAGTGGGCAACTCCCTCTTTCCTTCCCATTCAGATATCTTGTCCTTTATACTGAGGGGCTTGTGCCGAGCCCCGCCTCGGGCAGGAGGGCAAGGGTTCTGAACACCACTGAGCTGCCTCTTGCCAGCCTTGTTGGCTTCTTTAATGCTGAGATCTGAAGCTGGGTCGCTGATAATCATATTTGAACTGAACATGTTCTGCTGAAAACAGTCCACTTCTGACTCTAGCATCAGGTTATTGAGACTTTCCAAAAAGCTTCTTCTGGGGGGTGAATCCTGATAAGTCTCTGGGAAAGGAATGGGGGACCTAAATGGCAGCCTTCGAGGGTCTTCGCCAGCCTTTGGACCTTCCACCTTGACCTTGTCAGCGAGTCTGGAGCTCAGGGTTTCACTCAGGCTGTGGCTGCTCTGGGCCGGCCTGCGCACAGTCATCACGTCAGCACCAGAAGGAGCTCCAAGGCGCCTCCCGGCCGGCCGCGGCTCCGCGGGCTCCGAGGCGCAGCTCGGGGGCGCCCGGGCGGGCGGGGGCGGCGGGCGGCGGGGGCCCGGGGCGCCATGGCCCGCAGCCCCGCGCCCTGCAGTCGGCCAGGCCTCTCCCCGCGCCCTCCGCTCGCGTGCCCGCCGCCCGGCCGCCGCCGTGGGCGAGTCGACATCAAAGAAATCTTGAAAAAAACAGTGACTAAAAGAAAAACTAAGCATCAGAAAGAATAAGGACTATAACTGATTGAACATCAAATATATTTGCTAAAATCTATGATTTTATGATGACACTTTATAAAACACAACTATTAGTTCCCCTTGGAGATTTCCAAGATGTCAGCAAGTTCTGAAAGCTGGAAAGTTCAAGGACAAAATTAAACATTGATTCTGCCTTTCTGTATGAACTATATTTTAGGTTAAACAAATACTTCTTACATCACTACACTGTTTAACTTGTGTAACTTTCTTCCTCTCTTCCTTGTTCTCCATCTATAAATAAGGACAGTGATGCCAACTCATAGAGTTATTAAGAACATTAATTAACACGTAATATATGCAAAGCATTAGTCCAGAGGATTATCTTCTCTGCGAAGAGATTTTTATACTCCTTAAAAACAATTAACCTTTTATGAACCTCTTTTGTATTTGCTAGTTCATTAGTTTAAACTTTATTGGCTCAAAGGCCTACTATAAATCAAGGACTGTGTTAGCGTTGCAATATGAAGATCAAGACATGCTCCCTGACCTCAGAGAACTTTTAATCTAGTGAAACAACTACCAAGAAGATAGTCAAGACCGAATAGACATTTTCTGCCTGGTTTAGATTTCAGGAGCCTGCAGGTGGTTCTTTACCATGCTTATTATACTATAAAAATAAAATAGGAGGACAGCAAAAATCTCAGTACTAAATTACCAAAAAGATAATGACAGAAGAACTATATTGACAACAAAACTACAGATGTAATAGATTTAATATAAGTCAGATTCCTGGGTAACAGTGGTAGGTGGGTATGCCTGTATTTCATTTTAGCTGGCTGGACAACACCAGGCACCATTAAGCTATTCAGGTCACGTTAACCACATAGGACAAATGGGGCAAAGAGTGAAAACTAATGAAGACAAATAGCATTTGAAATGGCAAAATCTAATTCCAGGTAAGCTGCCCTAGAGATGACAGCTGAAATTCACTCATACCCCAATACTACACCCAACAACGACTCATTATATGCACGAAATGAGATGAGAATCAATGACCCAGAGTGTGTGCATGCCTACTGGGAATCTTCCACAAGCAGGTGACAAGCTGCATGCAAAAATCTATTCCACCCTGGGTAGAAAGATTTCTATTGTTTAAAAAAGAAAAGAAAAGAGAACCCCCCCCCCACACACACACACAGATTAGGGTAGCAGCCACTTGAAATATTGTGTAATGGTGGTAGGAAATGATTTAATGGTTCAGTGTTACCTATTATAACCAGTTGTGGATTCATTTTTTTTTCATTTTTAATTACATAACTTTTCTGCAAGTACTACCAATAAACACTGGAAAGAAAGCAAAATAAAAGAAAGCAAAAACAGTGAATGCATGAACTTGCAGAAAAACCTTTAAAGATGGCAAAATTTGTTCATTAAATTATTAATTTTTGTAGTGTTTGTGCCCGGAAAATCCGAGGCCACATCTATGGTGACAAAATTGATTTCTTTGGACAAAATTGATTTAAAAATAATTTCTCAGACCAGTGCTTCCCCATAATAGAGAAAGACACATCACAAGACACAGAAGAAATGGGAATGTTCATACAGAACTACATTACTGGAGGCAATTGACCAGGTAGCAGTGTTGTCCACATCCTGCCCAGTTGACCCAAGAACTACAGAAGTAAAAATCTAGATGCCCCTTAATAGATTCACTATACACCTTTTGCCTTGTGCCTAGGGTTTTCAAACAGTACTGCAGACAGCCTTATGGGTTCTGAGATGAGGAGAGAGGGATCTATTTACGTAGTCCTCCACATTATCTTTTTTTTTTCTTTTTAAGATTTTCTTTATTCATGAGAGAGACACAGAGAGAGAGGCAGAGAGACAGGCAGAGAGACAAGCAGAGGGAGAAGCAGGCTCCATGCAGGGAGCCCAATGCAGGACTTGATCCCTGACCCCAGGATCACACCCTGAGCCAAAGACAGACGCCACTCAGGCGTCCTAGTCCTCCACGTTCTAACCCCAGAACATCTCCCCTTTTTCCTGCTTTGTTAAAGAAATTTTTTCCACAGGGAAAAAATAAGTTATTTGGAAAATTACTTGTTTGGTTCTAGAGCCACTGACATTGAATTGAAAAATACAAGTGAGCTTGGAGAGTAGACAGCTTATTATAGCAATGTTTCTTAATCCTGTCTGTATATCAAAATCACCAGCAGAGGTTTTAAAAAACACAGAGCCCTGGGCCTTACCATCAGTGATTCTAAATCATTCATGGTGTGTCTCAGGCATTTAACCCCCCAGTAGTTCTTGCATTTAGCCAAATTTGAGAAACACTGAATTAGACAGACATACTGGCCAGTCAGAAAAGGTCCTATATTAAGATAAGATTCATTTGAAACCCAGATATGCTTGTCAGATGCAAGAACTTTGTGGGGGCCCTAATTTTTCTTATTCATAAGACAATAGCAGTCACACTTGCAGGTTTTTATGTGTTTTCCAAACCAAGTTCTACCTGGAAAAAAGCCAAAATCAGTCAGTGATAAGAAAATCTGGAGGCAACAGTAGGAGAAAAGAGCCTTACCTTTTCTTTCTTAAGAAGACAGAAAAACTGAGTGAAAAAAAAAATTGTTGAGAATTGGGTGTTCTGAGACTTCTTATCTGTTCCTTCTTCCCATTCCCTCAGACATTCATTAGTGAAAGTCAAGGAATCAGGGTCAGTCAAAAATGGAAACTAATAGAAAAGACAGTACAAAGCTGGAGACCTTAAAAAAGAAAGAGAGAAAATGAAAGTCAAGAGAGGCATGGGAGAGAAAATCTACAACAAAGATGTAGTTTGCCAGATTTGTTTCCTAGAAACCTAGAATTTCTGGCAAAAAAAAATAATTATAATTATAATTATACAAGTAACAGAAAGAAAATCTAAAATTTCTGTAAGAGGAGAAAAACTAGCTGCAATACTAGATACAAAAGATACATACTTACAGCAATTTTTCAGTTGGAAAGCATCTGAAACATGCATTGGCTGAAATCATAAAACTGACCATTTAATGAACATTCTCTATGGACCAAGATGTTGTATTAGATGTTTTACATACATTGTCTGCATTATGTGTATGTGTTTATCAATGTCCTTTACATATACTATCTTGAGTTTTATTATTTCAGTATCCTGCAAAGTTTTGTTTGCATTATACAAAATAAGAAATTGAAGGCTGAGGAAACTATATATCAAGGCCTCATAATCAGAACACAAAATGGAAGTTACTCGAATTGCATTCTGTCTGCCTCAAACATCTGATGTCTTTACAACACATAGGAATGTTTAGGAATTGAAGCTTTTGTCAAAATTTTTGGGTCAGTGATAAATACCCTATCATTTTGGGAACTGTAGCAATAGGAAGAAAAAGCCCAAAGAGATATTTTTATTCTTTTTGAAATAAAAAATTTATTGTAAAAGCAATAAAAAAATTATGTAAGAAAAATCCGAGTAAAAGCTGTCAGGTTTGGATCTAGGAAAACAAATATGGAATAATATTGTGGCAGTAAAAGAAGTGATAAGCCCATACCAGGTATTTTTCACTTAGGGTCAGAAAAAGATAAGAGAAGCCACATTTTGTGAATCAAGAAATTAATTGAGGATATTATGTAAAATAAAAACATCACTGATCTTTTTAAAACAAGCTCACTACTATTCTCATTGTAGAGGAAAAAGCAGGGATAAAATTGTGTAATTCGTATTTTAGAAAAGTTGCCAAAGAACATGCAATGGAAAAGTTGGGAGGAAGATACACATGTTCAGAGCTATGAACACAGGATGGGAAAGGACAAACAGAGCAAGTGAAATTTGCTCCAATAAGTTCAGGATAATCTTCTGTGAGAAAGGAAAAAATCTCAAGAGGACACTTCCGAAAGAGATGAGAGAAATTAAAAATGGTGACTGGTTTATGACATTGGATTGGGGAGAAGGAAGACAGGTAATTTCTTTTTTTTTTTTATAAATTAATTTTTATTGGTGTTCAATTTACCAACATACAGAATAACACCCAGTGCTCATCCCGTCAAGTGTACCCCTCAGTGCCCGTCACCCATTCACCCCCACCCCCCACCCTCCTCCCCCTCCACCACCCCTAGTTCATTTCCCAGAGTTAGAAGTCTTTATGTTCTGTCTCCCTTTCTGATATTTCTCACACATTTCTTCTCCCTTCCCTTATATTCCCTTTCGCTATTATTCATATTCCCCAAATGAATGAGAACATACACTGTTTGTCCTTCTCCGGTTACTGTGGCCAAGTTCAAAAAGGGTGTTGCCTGAGTTCTTCTCTGGGATTTTGATGGAATCTTGTCTCACATTTAGATCTTTCATCCATTTTGAGTTTATCTTTGTGTATGGTGCAAGAGAGTGGTCCAGTTTCATTCTTCTGCATGTGGATGTCCAATTTTCCCAGCACCATTTATTGAAGAGACTGTCTTTCTTCTAGTGGATCGTCTTTCCTCCTTTATCGTATATTAGTTGAGCATAAAGTTCAGGGTCCACTTCTGGGTTCTCTGTTCTGTTCCATTGATCTATATGTCTGTTTTTGTGCCAGTACCACACTGTCTTGATGAACACAGCTTTGTAGTACAACCTGAAATCTGGCATTGTGATGCCCCCAGATATGGTTTTCTTTTTTTAAAATTCCCCTGGCTGTTTGGGGTCTTTTCTGATTCCACACAAATCTTAAAATAATTTGTTCTAAGTCTCTGAAGAAAGTCCATGGTATTTTGATAGGGATTGCATTAAACGTGTAAATTGCCCTGGGTAACATTGACATTTTCACAATATTAATTCTGCCAATCCATGAGCATGGAGTATTTTT